CGGTAACGAACTACCGTATCCACGGAATATAACCGATCGAATCCTGAAGTGTGATTCGGTAACGAAATCCCAAATCCACGTCGGAATATTATCGATCGAATCTCGAAAATCCCGAAGTGTATTTTAGTAACGAAATCCCGAAAACACTTTGGGATACATCGTATAAATAAAACTCGGAAAAATCCCGAAGTGTATTTCGGTAACAAATTCCCAAAAACACTTCAGGATATAATGTAGAAACGGAACTTAGTAAAATCCTGTAAATCTCGAAGTGTTTTTCGGTAACGAAATTTCGAAAACACTTCGGGATATAACCTAAAAACGGAACTCTGTAAAATTCCGAAAATCCTAAATTGTATTCCAGTAATAAAATCCAGAAAACATATCTAGATATAACGTAGAAACGAGACACAGTGAAACCCCTAAAATCTCGAAAATCTCCAAGTTTATTTCGGTAATGAAATCCTGATTTTCACGAATTTTGCAGAATATTAGATTTTTCTTTGCAATTTTTAATTTTTTTGTGAATTTTCGAGAATTTTAGGATTGTCGGGATAACGTAAAAAAAGGGCATCCTAAAGTATATTTCGACAACGAAATATAGATTTTCACGATTTTTTTAAGTTTCGGATTTTCCCAACAATTTCCAATTTTCGTGAATTTTTTGAAATTTTGAGATTGTCGGGATAACACAAATACGGGACATACTGAAGTATTTTTCTATGACGAAATCTCGAATTTCACGATTTTTCAGGATTTTCATAATTTTATAGTTTCGAAGTTTCGTGAATTTTGAGGAATTTCGGGATTGTCAAGATATCGTAAAAACGAGACTTAGTTTAGGGTTTTCGGGATTTTACAAAGTCATCTACACCAACAACAAACCACAAATTCACTAAAAGTTCGCTAACAAGCTTCGCTAGTCAATTCGGTGAATTTTTTGGACCCTATTGGTCACGAGTGGTTCTTAGATATGGCGAAAAGGTCATCAACACCATTATGGAGAATTAAACCGATGATCTCTGGATCGCGACGAATATTGCACAGAAGTGGCTCCAAATGGAGGACAAAAAGCAGAGGGGCCAGAGGACAGCCCTGCCGTAGTGACCGTGTGAGTTGAAACTCATCCGAAATTTGTCCATTGACGCATACAGCTGTCGTTGACAGGCCATACAAGGCTTGGACCCACATGCGGAAAGGTTCACCAAACCCAGAGACTCTCAGACTAGTTAGTATAAAAGACAAGTTCACCCTGTTGTACACCTTTTCAAGGTCCAGTAATAAGATTATCACATCTGCCTCCTCCCTTTCAACGAACTCCAGTGCTTCAATCGCCATGAGAATGTTTTCAAAGATTGATCTTCCCTTGACAAATGCACCTCGATCTTTCTGAACCAGTCTTGGGAGGAATCTAGCGAGGCGGTTTGCTAGTGTCTTGGCGAGCAGCTTGTCGACCACGTTCAGGAGGGATATTAGCCTCCAGTTTTGAACTTCATTGTAGTCGCTTTTTTTGAAGATTAGTGAGATCACTCCGCGAGTCATCGTCATACCAAGTGTTTCTCCTTGCAGGACGACATTGAACATTTCTATGAGGTCTACTGCAAGAGTCGGCAAGTAGGCGTCAGCGGAAGACTATCTTCTCTTGGGGCCTTGCCGCCGACCATGCTCTTGACTGTTGTTGTAAATTCCTCTTCCGTAATCGGTCTGTCCAACCTAGTTTTCGCTTCAGCTGAGATCCGCACCATCATGTTGTCCCACAAAGAGGACAAATCAAACATGTTGGTGTCTGGGTCGTCAAACGGGCGCCTAGTCACGGTTGACAAGATGTCCTTGAAATAGGCAGCAGCATAGTCGCACATGTCTTAATTTAAAGAAGCCACTGGTTGACTCAGCAAGTGTGGGTGCCTTAACTCTCTTACCTGGGCCAAATTATTTTTCGTGAGAAGTCTCCGAAAAGTGTTCGTGGACATCCGATCGAAGGTTATAATGCCCTTGGTCTGTAGAATATGTGTCCACCGTTTCTGCCTCTGGATATAAAATACTTCCCACTTATGTAGTTTGTCCTTTTTTTCTTCCCGCCATAAAAGATCTAACACTGGTTGCTCATCCAACCTTGCCTCTGTCGCTTCTACCTTCCACCAGAGAGAGTGTTCCTCCTTATTCTGAAGGAAAGCTGCTATCCGAGAAAAGGAGTCCAGCTTCAGCGAGATAATTCTCAAACCTGCATCGACCCATTCCGCCTTGGACTGAAATCCTGCCTCGCTGGACTCCAATCAAACCAAAAGGTATCGGTCCATATTCGAATGTCCTCGTCTTGCAGGAGTTTCGTGTTAAGTCTGAAGTACTCGGGACCTCTCTCAATCACAGCGGATGTAACACAATCCATCACCACCGATTTATGGTATGACAAGGTGTCATTCTGCATGTGGACTGATTGGACTGTGTTGTCAGCTGCTTTTGTCGTCATAAAGAAGTCAATCCATCTTTTGAGCCCTACATGTTGAGCCGTCTGACCCACCCATGTAAATTCTTGCTCAGCTGGATTGACGATTCTGAACACGTCGTTTAACTATGTTTCGGTCTATCCACCACTAGCCCCTCGTCCGCCTCCGAGTCCATGCTCTCATCCACCTAATAAGTTTGGCTCTATCCACCACTAGCCCCTCGTCCGCCTCCGAGTCCATACCAGGGCTGATAACTATGTTTCAGTCTCCTCCCACAACCAAATTTTCACAACTTGGGAGGGCGAACGACAATAGGTCGAATAATTCAGCGCTCTCCTTTCAAGTTGGACTATCAGGAACATAGATGGACGCAAAGGACCACTCGACATTCCCAACCATAAACCTTATCCAACACCATCGCTCCCACACTTCGCAATCATAATCCACAATTCTAGCTTCAATCCTTTTGTGAATGAGGACTTCCACCCTTTCAACTGTTTCCCTTTTTGTTTTCCCCTCATATCCCCGAACCCTCTCACATTTCAATTTCCAATGCAAAGCTTACCTATGCGGGGTTCATGCCCGGTGATTGGATTCCTGCAGGTTGTGGGTGCAGATCCCTAACATCTTCTTGGTTAGTTGGACCAATCGCAAGAGGCCACTCACTCGAGAGAAAGTTGTAAAAAAGATTAGAACTTGAAGTAAGGTTCCACGATCTCAGCATGTTTGGATGCAGATCCGCCAAAAAGGTAGTTTGGACCCCCTTCTACCAACACGTTGACTAGAAGGTCAATTGAGGGCTGGATGAAAGAGCCTAAACCTACCGAGGTAAGACCTGGCCAGACAATCATAGGAATACACGCATCAATAAAGACTATCGTAAAACGGACCATCTTAACCTTATCTACCTCAACTTTAAGCTTGGATAACATAAATTCGGGGAAAAGCCAAAATGAAAATTTGTCAGCAAACAAGTACTTGACCCTTTCCATAATTAGGGCTTGCATAAGAATTTCTTTCACGCCCGTTGTTGGCAGAATCAAATTGTGTTCTCTATCCACTAAGCCGATGACAAACACTTCCTGATCTTCTCGTGTACAGACAAGAGGGAGCAACCTCTGTTACTCAAATGCCGCATCCTTCCTGCAACGCATATCGACTTCAGGTGGAATCCGAGTCTGAAGCGGAGATTCCTCCATGCTTGAGGCCCGGGACTGACTATGGGTCGCAGAGCCGTCCGATTCACTATCCTCCCCTTCGTCACCATGGACCTCTTCGATTTGAGTAATCTCTCTTGCTTGTTGAAGTCTTGCCACAGGGTCGTCTCTCTGGCTTGTACAAAGGAGATGCATTGCAATGTCGTTTATTCTTTCCCTTCCAACTGCAGATCCACGCCCCCCCGATGTTCGATCGTCTGCATCAACTAACCCTTGCGCAACTCCTCCGCTTCTCCCGTACCCCGAGCGGTAGGAAGTATTTTGAGTTATATGCCCCGGGTTGAGTGGCCGGAACGTCTAGCGTTGCCAAGCTGCATGAGCCCATTGCGAGACATATGGCTGAAAGGCACCTCTCTGAGATTGATAAGGAGGCGCCATATGGGACGATCTCACCACCAACGCTCTTTGCCCGATGCTTGATTCCCCTTTGATTATGTTATGACTCGTTCCAATCGACTCCTCTGCACGAGGGCTGACTTGGTTTGGCAAGATGCCTCTTCTGGCTGCACCACTAGGAGCTTGGTCTGCATTCTCCCCACCGGCATTCGAGGCGTACTCCTGCGAAGGCGCTTGGCGAATTCGCCGGTCTTCTTGCGGTCGGTGTTGGCGATTACGATTATGCTCCTATGGCCGTAGTGCTCCGCCCCCTTGGCTGCCTTCGTCTTCCTCAGCTCTTGGGCAACCCTCCTCGGCTGTGTGATACCACCATCTGCATCTGGTGCGCCAAGGTGTGTGCTTGCAGACAAATTTGATTTGTATCGTTTCCTAACTGAGATGGATTGGAAGTTGAGGTTCAAAATTTCCTTCAGCCTCCTTGACCAACTCAAACTTGAGGTTCATTAGCTTAGGCTTGGTGCGATCCTGCTCCGGCAGGGTGCAGTTGATTACGTGGCCCATCGAAGTCTCCAACATACTTTCCACGTGAAATATCGCAGGTAATGGCACCCGAATGGCCATTACCCAAAATTTTGACTCGTCGTCCAACCTCCTTCACTTATCAAGTTTTGTGCGAGTAAGCCATAGCTTGAACAACATGCCATACTCAATGCTTCGAATCGTCACTTTATCCTCCGCCTTCGCTACCATCCACTGCACCACCTCTCTTGATTTTGCCACATATGATACCACATGTGGCCCCTCGGCATGGATACGGCCTCTGCCGGTATTTCGGTCGAAATTATTTTCCCTTTGCCAGCCATTTTCGTAGGCTCTGACGAGGTCTTCTCTCGTCCTCATTGAAAGGTCCCTGGCCGCTCCCTGAAACATTATGGTCACCGTGCGTTCTTTCAGCCACACCGTAGTGAGAGTATCCAGCCGATGGTTGACCATAAAGATTCGGACCCCGTCCTTGACTGCCCACTCCCCGTGCTTGAATTTCTCGGCAGCACTCCATCGTCATAGCACTTGGCGATGAGCATCTTCAGACGATCTTCGTCGGAGAGTGGAAGAGCTGCATGTCCCAGCGGCGAGCGACCTCTGTTAGGTTGATGACGCTTTGGATGACATTGGGACCCTTGTCCTTGAGAAACCACGACTCTTACTTCTTGAGGCTTGAGGATCTCACGTTGTTATCGCGGCCTGAAGAGTGGAAGAGCTGCATGTCCTGGCGGCGAGCGACCTCTGTTAGATTGATGACGCTCTGGATGACATTGGGACACTTGTCCTTGAGAAGCCATGACTCTTACTTCTTGAGGCTTGAGGATCTCACGTTGTTATCACCGCCTGAAGAGTGGAAGAGCTGCATGTCCCGGCGGCGAGCGACCTCTGTTAGGTTGATGATGCTCTGGATGACATTGGGACCCTTGTCCTTGAGAAGCCATGACTCTTACTTCTTGAGGCTCGACGATCTCACACGTTGTTATGGCTTTATACGTCAGTGGTGGGTGCCTACTGGGCGCACGCCCAGAAAACACCTTACACACCAGAACCCAGAGAACACCTTACACACCAGAACAACTCTGCAAATACTCTCATAGGGCTTAACCAAAATGCGTGAACAACTGTAGCTGACAGACGTACACAGGGGGTTACGGAGATGGAATGGATGATACCGAACACGAAGACACGAACTTCGCCGAGGTCATCATGGCGGTGACAGCACGACGATGGCTAACCCAGTTCTACCTCGAGACACGAACTTTCAGGTAGTGCAGAAACCCTAGGGACGTACCATCCCTGCTAAAACCTGGAAGTTGTCGCTAAACGCAAGCGTTAGCGCTGCTGGTAGGGACCCTACCGGTAGCGGTAGCGCGACCGTAAAACTCGCGGCCACTCCTACGCCATTTTTCAGTTTAAAACTCGCGGCCACTCCTACGCCATTTTTCAGTTTCCTGCGCGCTCCATTTGGGGTGAGGGGAATTGGCAGGATGAAACGTGGCGCCGCGATTTCGTATCTGCACGGCAGCGGATCACATGCACATGCTCCCGCCACGTCACAGGAATTGACGGCTCGGCGGGAGGCGTCCGAGCGGTGGTCGCGCGGGCGCGGCGGGGGAATGACATCGATTTGCTCGCGGACATGCTTCGGCTGCTGCTGCTTCACGCCTAGCCGTGACTGGCGGAACTTCAAATTTTGCCGATTCCAAGACGGCGGTGCAAATGCCGCCACGTACGCGCCAATGGCTGCTGCTGCGGCTAACGGTACTTTTTCCCGCCGTTTTTTCTCCACACGCCGTCACCATCACGTTTTTCAAGCAAATGGCGTGCCATTTGCAGGTTGCCGGCTTTTACCTTCGCCTGCTTCTTTTGCTCGTGGCGTCAACAACAAGTCTCTTCGACCATCCCGAGTTGACGATGACAATACGTGCACCAAGTGCCTCGTTCCACTGCGAGCCACCAAACGTAAAAACGCCGAAAATGGCGAATGCATCTGGCCAGGTTCTGCTGCACTATACGTTCGTCATACTTGCATTTGGCGAGCGGTGGATCGAGGGCATAAATTGCCCGTCGCCGCTGCCGCCGCCGCTGCAAGTGGCGCTCTTGTAGCCCGTCGCGATCCTGGCGATGACGACAAAGTATGCTTCGCAGCGGTCCTCTCCTCCTCTCCTTGGACAACGCCGCCGCTCCGCCGATCTGCGCGCGAAGCAGGCGCTTTGGAGAAAACTAGATCACCTCGAAGCCAGCCATGGCGGAAGTCATCTCGCTTATCGCCTCTGCCATACTCGCGTGCCGAGTCTACCCCTCACAGCTGGCTGGTTGACGGAAGATCGAACTCGGAACCAGAGAAAGTGTGTGGTCATCGACGCGGCCATACCAAAAGTCGTTCTGCGCCGTTGGATTTGGTATTGCTCCGGTCCTGGCCGTCGAGCGGGAGGGCTGAGAGGAGCGATGGACGAGGACGGGACCCCGGAGGAAGAAGACGAAGATGGACTAGCCGTTCCCGCGGCGCAGCTGCATGGGAAAGCGGCGAAACCGCGGGCAACATGAGCGACCCTGGAAATACGCCGGAAGAAATGGAGCAGGAAGAGGAGGAAGAGGGGAAGGAGGCGGGGGAGGTGGGGAAGATTGTGAACATTCTTGCTTCGATTGCCGACAGCCTGGCCGAGGTGAAGGAGACGATGCGATCGATGTCCAGCTCATTAAAAGTAATAGCAGACGCTGCTGCCGTTTTGTCGGCGAGTAGTAGTACTGACAGTGTTGACGTCAACACTGATCCAATGGCGACGGATCCGCGCATCGTGGGAGTGGAGCTTCGATCCGACGACTTGCGTGGCAACATGGATGATGTGAGCGGACAGTGGAGGGCTACTGCTCCTTACGATGGCTATTTACAAGGAGAAGATATTCTGTCCGGCGAAATTTATGGCTCAGGTGGGTTTCCCTCCTCCCCTTTCTCTTCATCCTCCAGCTACTCGTCCTCGGCCTCCTCTCAAGGCATTATGCGAAACGGGGAGGAAGGGAGCGATCAGGCAAACTCGGGCCCGGAAGAGGCTCAGCTCAGCGACAGGGATGGAATGGATCGGAATCGTTGCTCGAGTGAGTTTGAGCAGTCCGATGCCAAGGCCATCGAACAGAGCGCCATCGCCAGCCAGCTGGCCCTGCGGTTGCAGCAAGCTTTCTTCCAAGCACGGATCGAAGGGCTCGGAAAACCATTTCAGGCATGTGCTCACTCGATCAATCCTAATCATTTCTCCCATCCCCGATCTCCTCTACGCTGGCCACCCCCTCCACATGGACGCGAATCCGATCGCCCGTGGCGTGCGTGTGTGTGTGTGTGTGTGTGTGTGTGTGTGTGTGTGTGTGTGTTGAGATTTTCGCTATGGACAATTCCACAAAAAAAAGCACGACTGTGCCGGCTTGTTCCGTCGGGCTTTCACCGATCATCAGGAGGTTGAATCGCGACAGCCTACCCAGGATGCATTGGACTCACCGCGTCGCTTGGAGTTAGAAGATGTTGCTGAGAAAAGTGGTCGACTTCACTGACACCAACCCTGCGATCCTAGCAGACTGTCGGTCGAAACTCCTGATGTCTGAGAAACTGCTCTGTCACAGTCATAAAACCCATTCTACACACCCACTCAGCCACGTGTGTGTGTGTGTGTGTGTGTGTGTGTGTGTGTGTGTGTGTGTGTGTGCGCGTGTGTGTCTTATTCACTATACACTGAAAAAAAGCACGACTGTGCCAGATTGTTTCGTTGGACTTTCACCGACTCATCAGGAGGTTGAATCTCGACAGTCTGACCAGGATGCATTTGACTGTTGGATAAGGACTAACCACATCGCCCAGAGTTAGTGATACCGCTCAGAAAAGCGGTCGATTCTGTGTGTGTGTGTGTGTGTGTGTGTGCGCGCGCGCGCGCGCGCGCGCGCGCGAGAGAGAGAGAGAGAGAGAGAGAGAGAGAGAGAGAGAGAGAGAGAGAGAGAGAGAGANGAGAGAGAGAGAGAGAGAGAGAGAGAGAGAGAGAGAGAGAGAGAGAGAGAGAGAGAGAGAGAGAATATGTCTGCTTGTCTGTGTGTGTGGTGGGTGGAAAACGATGAAGAAAAGAAACAGTGAAGAAAATGATGGAGATAAAGAAGACATGAAAGCGAAGTATGTAGCTGACAGTGGATGAGTGGTGCCCTGCTGCCAGTTCTTTTTGGCATATCCACTTTCCTGTTATGACATCATGTGAAGGCGAGACATAAGGTATTCCACGGCCCTCGGATACACCAATTTACTACCGCATCGTCGGATCAATCAGCTGCAACGTCCATGGTGTCGGTTTCAGCTATGCACAGAGGTGTACCAATAATCTAAGTTCCGTAGCAGAGCAGGAGGAGGATGTGGTAGCCAATGTTTGTGATGGATTCTCCAAGATTGCGACTTTTAGAACGTACCTGGACGTCCGCGCGTTCCCATGCAGATCATGCACCTGGCTACCTGGAAGTCCTAGTACAGTCGCAGAGGGACAACCTCGGAATTCTAGGTGCCAGTAGTGGAAGTCGCGTCGTCGATTCTGTGCTGTTTGATCTTATTTGCCCTTTTTCTTCTGAAGAAGGACGTTTATTCTGTGCTCTTTGCTCTTATTTGCTCCAATCTATTCTATTATGTGGGGAGCTGCACTTGCTGGGAACCGGGGGCTGAGTCCCACCTGTGGGGGTTTACACTTGGTTCTGAGTATTTTTCAGGGTGGCCACAGTTGGGCCGTGAGCTGTTCAGATCGGATGCCAGGAACCGGTGCGACTCTAAACCAAGCCTCAACCCTAAACCAAGCCGAAACCCCGCCAGTGGGACCTAGTCCCGGGCCCAACCTCCCATATCATGATTTACAATGAATACAAGCGCATGAAAAGAGCAGCTATGGTAGTTTGCTCTTATTTCCCTATTGGAAGGACTGGCTCGGTCAGAAAACAGGAGCACCCTGGTTGCCCATGTAAACTCACATTTTTATTTTTTAGTTTTTTAAAAGTAAACTCACATTTCCTGGTGCTCGGATGGCCTAGCTCAGTTGGTAAGCCACACAAGCCGCATTCAGGAGGTCTTGGGTTCAATCCCCATTGGCCTCATGTACCTTCCTGGGCAAGCTTGGCCCCCGCCACCTAGAGATATGCCGTTGGTCCCCCGAGTGGCATTGAGCAGAGACTGCTGATGTTCATAGGGGGAGGGGACCGGAGGGGAGGCACAGTGACTGGCCCATCGAAGCAGCTTGGTCCTGATGCTACCGGCTGACCCCTGGCCGGTATCGCCCACCTGCTGTAGAAGGTATTGCACCTGCTGGTGGGTGCAGCTCCTGCATGTTCCCTCAATGGAGGCTTGAGCACGGATGTGGCTGCCACGGGTTCCCCGAGTGGGTGCAGCTCCTGCATGTTCCCTCAATGGAGGCTTGAGCACGGATGTGGCTGCCACGGGTTCCCCGTAATACTATAATGACCAGGGTTACCTGACCAACGGGCTGGCCCCCGAACGTTCGGGCGTTCGGGGTCCCGTTCGGGGGCCGAACACCTCCAGGTTCGGCCCCCGTCAAAAACATTTTCGGGGCCTAAAAATAAGTTTTTTTTCTGAGTATTTTTTTGTGAGTTCTCTATGATGTAACCTACAGGCCTATAAATTTTGAAGCCATTCTGCTAAGCCAAAAAAACATTAAAAATCGTCAAAGATGGGGGTGTCAAAACGTGCTTGCCCACTCATTATTTTGTTTTTTTTTCACTTTTAACTTTTTGTTTTCACTTTATTGATGGGCCTAAAAAAAAATATTATTTTTTGAAATTTTTTTAATGAGTTATTGATTATGTAAACTACATATCTGTAAATTTTCAGGGCATTTGTCAATGCCAAAAAGTAATTAAAAATCGGCAAAGATGGCGGTGTCGAAAGGTGCTGGCACACTCACTCATTTTAATTCTCTTTTTATTTTTTCTTATTTTTATAAATTTTATCATAGTGTTTATTTTCTGTATTTGATTTTTAATTCAAATTTGGTAAAGAATTTGGATGTATTGCCCAGGCAAATGTTGTTTAGTTTGTTTTTCTCCATAACATTTTTTTTTTTKGGAATTTTTTKWTTTTTTTTTTTTTTTTTTGGTCCGCATTTGGCCCGAACGGACGAACGCCTTCTGAAGGGGTCCCGTACGTTCGGGCGTTCGGGTTCGGGCGTTCGGCCTGTCCCGAACGCCGGTAACCCTGATAATGACAATAAAAAAAAGGCCTGAAAGGCCGTCCTGTCCAGATTTGACAGGTAATTGAATTGGTTGGGCTTAAAGAATTAGCCTTTAAAGAATAAGATCCTTTTCCTTCTTTTTTTCTTTTTTTTTCCCTTTTCCTTTTCCTATTTTTCAAATTTAAGAATCAGGATTTTGTGGCAGCCTGCCGCTCTAGGGGTGCGCCAGAGTGGCAGGTCTCCGCCTTTGCTGCTGAGTCTCCGTCTTTCCTTCGGGAAAAATACCTATTGGCACCAGGGACCAGCTTCCCATCACAACACAATTCGCATCATGTTCAGGACGAAGCAGACCTCATCAACCCATTCTAGAGGCCCCGGGGGGAGGTCCCAGTGGCAAATAGGATTGGATTTAGCGCCTGAGATGCAGAAAAGTGGATCAATCATCAATCATGATATTTTTGCACCTCTCCAAGTAAACACGTCTGAATTCAGGCGTTAATTCCAATAGTCTTAGCTAGTGGGAGCTTGCCTCAGCTTTTTCCACTAGACCCAATCTGATCCTACTTGGATCCTTCGGGACATCTGTTAAAATTGGAAAGATAGTACTGTGTAGTATCTGTTCTGCCAGCTCACAACCCCAGCCAACTTTGCCAGTACACGGCCGCAGCCAACTTCAGAAACAAATGGTTCACTCCGACTGAGACATTCCTTCTGCTTGCCGGTGAAAAAAAAAAGAAAAAAGAATGGCCCCTGAGCAAGGATGACACAAACCAAAAAATGTTAAGAAAGAAACAAAATCCTGCTTGGATCGACTCAGCAGACGACTCATACCAGGGCTGGTGCAGACTGTTTGCCACTAAGGAGGGACTTCCAGCATTCCAACGACTCAATCTTCGGGGAAGAGGGCTCTCCACAGACTATGGGAGGAAAAGATTAGTTTTTTTGCCAAACTGGTCCTGCCAGTGCCCCCTGGAGTACACTCTCTAACCTGGCTGGAGGACTGTTTTTGGGCCGTTCCCCGGAGGCATGCAGCCACCTTAGGGGGGGGTTTGATGGGCGATGGCGAGAGGAGCCAGTTGGACCAGTTCTGGCCATCCCTCCTTGAGATCTGGCGAATGCTCCCGCTACTGGCTAAGCCCCCCATCGGCTGGCAGGAGATTCTTTGGCAGCCCCTGTTTTGTAACAGGTGGCTAATAGCCACCGCAGCTAGGACCCACCATGGAAAAGCTGGGTTCGACACATAGTATTGTGGATGGGGGATACATGGGACGACGAACAAAGGGGTTGGAAAACGACGGCGCAATTACATGACACCCTTCGATACTGTCCACATATAGAGTGCCATCTGGACTCCCTCATGAAGACCATCCCACTACGATGGTGTCAAGTCCTCCGGCATGACTCTACTTTGATAAAGGGTGATTGGGTGGCTATCAGAGGAGACCTCGACTGGATAGGTAGAGTACATATAACACGGCCACATGATGAATTGGTTGAGTTCTTTTTGGTCGACAGGTCAGGCTCACTCCACGGTGGTAATGAGCTGTTTGAGTGGAGGGATAAGCTAGACATTGTCGAGCGTATCGGCTTTCGCCTTTTTCGCAAAAGGCAAGAGCCCTCCCAACCATGTTGCGTAGGAAGTTAAACAAAACAAAACAAGAGACAACTTGGGGAGAACACAAAATAACCTCGTGAACCGCTGAGATGGGCATGGTCGCATCGTCCCTTCGCGGCTCTAACCGGGTGCGCCAACCGTACTTCCCGCGGCCCCCTATGATATGATAGGTTCCTCCGGGGCATAACTTGCCTTCTTTAAGGGGCTGTCACCACCCTTAGGGGTGTATCCATATCGAGCTACTGACCCACGTTCGAAAGTTTTTAAATGGAATTACAAAGGTAGATCAGTCGAGTGCGTTTGCTTGTTTGTTGTAGTATAATCACACGTGGTTAAAACGCCGTCTAAACCCGGATGTCGTTCGTCCTCTAGGGCGCTGATCTCCTAGCCACAAAACGAATGCCGGTCGACTAGGTTGGTCTCAACCAAGTGTGAAACCCGAAGTTAATCCTAACCCTTTAGATACACAAGTCAAAGAAAATATATTACCGTGATTAAATAAAATTATGTTATTATGAATTGACCATAGTCGATAGAGCACATTCCCCAGTTCAACATGGGTTGCAACGATAACTGAAGGAAATTGAGCATCACATGGTAAAACTAATAACACAAAATAAAAATCGACCACTTCGGGTTGAACTTAATAAGTAAGGTACTATACTCAATTCCCAACGAGGAGTTGGCTCCGATAATAACCTCGATGCAGCCGACATGGTAGTCAGTTTGCTGCAGTTTTCACTTAATGAGACGCGCTGCCAAAGTCATTCGTTCCACCCTACCACCGACCTAAGATTAAGTACCCCCACTCGTCTCCATACGTTTTGGTCTTCTTTGATGACAAACGACTTTCTGGATAATTCTTGATCATGTGCATTACTCGAAGTGTTGCATGACCCGTCCTCTAGGAAGTGGTTTGAGGTACTCCTCGTCGACCGAGCACAAAGCTCGAATCTTAGAAGTCGGGCCATCTCCATCGAATCCCAACGTACCCCCTCATAGAACGGTTCACTCCGGGTCGATAACAGGGCCGGCTCCTAAAGCACCGAGCCCCTTTTTCGGATGCTTTCTAGAGAGAGAACGTGTCCACCGCGAGTAAATTTTAGCTGCTCTCATTTTCCCTAAGCTCAAGGTAACTTGGATGAAGAGAGTCTCAGGAGGTAGAGAATGAGGATCATTTGGATAGGTAAAGACAAATGAGGTCCTTCGGGATAGAAAGGGTATTCTCGGAAAAAGGCTAAGCCCATTTGACCACGTCTGCTTTATTTGATCAATTTCATTTTATGGTGTGCACAATGTAACCTTTTTCAGAACAACAAGTCCTTTTGACATCCAAGCGGGTGAGAGGTAGAAAGAAGATAATATTTTTCATCCGTCTAAAAAAGGAGCAAATAAATTCTCCTTTGCAAGTATCCTTCGACCTACCTGCACACCATACCGAAGCAAACAAGTTGGGAAAAGCAGCCAAAAAAATCCCATTCCCAAATCAGATTTTTCCATTCACATGCAAACACACATTTCCTTTCCCTTTTCAACGAACATTCAATGAACAGGTTCAAGCAAGTGTGGGTTGACACAAGTGTGAAGGAAAATTTGAATCATTCAACTGACCTTGAGTGCAGTTTGATTCGGCTCACTCAAAATGGCTGAGTGAAATTTGATTCGGCTCACTCAAAATGGCCGAGTACTATCCAAATCCAATGAAAGATAACCGCCGCTAAAGTAAAAAATATGTGGTCTAAAGCTCAACAAGATGTGGCCTTTCTCTTGAGGGACGGTCCATGTCCTTCCCCACTCGCCTGAATGGCCAAAGTCAAGTCCATTGAAAAGACTCAAATGAGATAATCCTCAAAGAGGGCACTCTCAACAATAAGTCTCACGTGGTTCCGTTGTCCCAGATGGGCCCAATGCAGTCCCAATTGCACCACAACTTTCAAAACTGTCCAAATCAAGCCGCAAATCCATACTGCCTAAAATCACCACGTTCGCACCAGATGGTCCAAAACGGTTCCAAGCGGCCTCACACTAATGCTCATAACACCGGATGGCTCTAAAGCGCCAAATCACTTGCACCGCGT